TACGACTCAGCAGACGTTGGTTCGTGTGCGTCGGACGCGACAGTACACACTTAGGGTGTCGGAGGTTGTACATCCGTTTCCAGCCCATGTCTCTTCGGTGATGACCATCAAGTAGCTTCAGTAGCTCTAGCTTTAAGACAGTGGCGGCAGTGCTTTCTCTAGGAATCACTCATGAGTGACATTTCGGACATGTTTTACAGAGGTTTCACCGAGTGTCTGCTAAGTCCAGCGCCCGCTAAGCGCACAGCACGCTCGCGCAGCGTTCAATTGAAAATTGATGGTTGAAGATCTGCCGTCCAGTGAGGTCGCGCTTGCTCTCGTGCGTGGTGTAGGTGGTCCTTGTGAGCACGAGGCGGAAGGGGACGAGGAGGTTGCGGAGGAAGGCCGAACGACAGGTTCTTGAGCTGGAGGCTGATGATGCCATTTTCGATGTTAGCGATGCCGGCAACCTGTGCAGTGCGCTTCATGGCTAGGCGTAACTAAACGAGCTACGTGCAAGGGCTCTATACAGCCAGATGCCTTCGAATACAACTTGTTTCTCAAAGCCTTGTCCGTAAACGGGGCCAAAAGTGGAAGAAAAAACACCAACCAAATGTAGCCGAGGTGCACAACCAGAGCAATAGAATAACATAGAATAGCTAGTCATACGGCCCCCTATTGCTTGTAGAATGCTTATAAGCAAAAGCAGTGCTTATAAGCAGCCGGACTGCTTATAAGCAACCGGACTGCTTATAAGCACAACATAACATAGAGTGGTCAGTCGTTTAGGGTTACGTAGACAGCGCTACGTAGACCCTAAACCCTAAAGAAAAGCAGCCGCGTGAGGTAGTCCAGGCGCGTCACCTGGGGCAGAAACCAAAGAAGCCAAAAAAACAAAAAAAACAAAAAACAAAAAAAGCCAAGCATTTTCACACTAGTCAGAATCCTTCAGACTAGTGTGCCAGTTTATGCATGCTCAATCTGCATTTGTTCCCAACACGGAGGTGTTTTCTCATGTAGCACATTGTAGCACCAAGCAGTTCTGCTGATGAAGACTCGCAGTTTACGAGCAGTGTCGGAAGGATTGATTGCTTGTTTGTTGGTTGCAGCATGCGTGCAGCTGATGATCGTGCAGCAGACACAGATAGTCTGTTGTTTACCTTATAGTGTTGCTATTCGATTGTTTTCGCGTGTTCTAGCCGGTTCCAATTCCTCTGCGTCGGACCGGAGCATCCAGTGCTTCGCAACTCAGTCAGGAAGGTGTGTCGTTGATTGAAATTCTGTTGAAGATGCCTTAGTAAAAACTTTTCCCATGGGACCATCTCCACGAGTTAAGCGTGAGCTTTCAGCGTCCCACTTACGGTAGGGTTTGTTTAAGCAGAGCTTGGGCAAAATTGAACAATTGCGGCAGTAGCTGAGGTGGGATGGCTCACTATGCGCTCCACATTCAAATTACGGCAGCCGCTGAACTTTGCATTGGCAGCCGCGGCGTCCAAGCAGATGCCCAGTCTGTCTTTGCTCAAGGCTTGTCAGCGTGTTGCGATTCTTTGCCATGCTGTCGTTCTGAGCTGTTACAGACATTGAACCATATTCATGTCGCTTTGTGTTCATGAGGTGTCGCCGCTGTTGACTGTGGCTTGTCTGAGATGTGCTTCATAACATATGTTGACTTCTTGCAATCTCATGACACCAGGCTGGCAGACAGGTAGCTTCGCTAGCACTGTCAAGCGCGACTGTCGCAGTTGATGTGGGAATGGTTTGGTTTGCTTTTGAGGCAGTGGCTGCTGATCCGGATTCGAGAAAGTCGATGACGTCTGTGTGTGCAGCAGTCTTCAGATGGCGTTGGCTAGGAGTCCGTGGACGTGCCATGCTTCGAAGGCTTCTGACAGGTGCTGGGCGGTTGCTCCGACTGGCAGAAGGCCCTCTGGACAAATGCGGATTTGCGTATTTTCTCAGTGCGAAGTTTACGAATCTTTGCACCGTCGCCCTGGCAACCGAGATCCGGCTGCAACAGCAGGAACGATAACACTGGTTGTGCATAAGCCATAAGCATTCGGAATTCATCGAGACTCTGCATCTCGCATGACACAAAGCACCAGGTGTTCAGCCGCGTTGTGGTCTATTCTTGTTGCGCGTTTTGTGTCTTGGATTGTTTTGTGCTACCCTGCATGTCCGCTTCGTTCCTCGGATCGTCAACCCCGGGTTTCACCTTCAGTGCTGTTGGGTTCTTCTTCCCCCACACATTTCAATGCAATGCTCGCTTTGCCTATATATGTATATATGTACATAAGTATATATGTATATATGTATATAAGTATATATGTATAGATGTATATACGTATATACGTATATATGTATATACGTATATATGTATATATGTATATATGTATATATGTATATATGTATATATGTATATATGTATAAATGTATATATGTATATATGTATATATGTATATATGTATATATGTATATATGTATATATGTATATATGTATATATGTATATATGTAAATATGTCTATATGTCTATATGTCTATATGTATATATGTATATATGTATATATGTATATATGTATATATATGTGTATATGTGTATATGTGTATATGTGTATATGTCTTTATGTCTATATGTCTATATGTCTATATGTCTATATGTCTATATGTCTTTATGTCTATATGTCTATATGTCTATATGCCTATATGTCTATATGTCTATATGTATATATGTATATATGTATATATGTATATATGTATATATGTATATATGTATATATGTATATATGTATATATGTATATATGTGTATGCATATATGTATATATGTGGGCTTTGGGAGGGGGTACCATATATATATATATATCTAATATAGTATATATATAATATATAGTATATATATTCTAAATATTATATATATATATTATATATATAATGTATAATAAAATAAATTATATATATCATATATTATATTTATATAAATATATATTATATATATTATATAAATTATTATTATTATATATATATATATGTATTATTAATATATTATATATATATAT